GGTCACCGGAGGTGAACGGCTGGACTTCGCGGGGTTGCCGGAGGTCATCCGGGGCGCCCCGCCACGCTCTCCCTTTCCTCCACCCCCTTCTCCCGTCCTCTCCACGTGGCGATGGCCTCGGCAAGGCGGACGCCGTTTTGGCGGATTTGGGGGGCCTGCGATTCAAATCGTGCAGTCGTGTTCCCTTCGATTTTCTTCAGCAGACCCCAGAGAACCACACTACGAGGATCATGCGTACTTATCGTCTGACCGACAGCTTCTTCAATGTCGGCATGAATGCCTCTTCTGTTATTCTCGGCATAGTTCTCGTGTTTGAGAAGCAACTTCAACTTTTGGTGAACGTCTGACTATTCACGGGAATACGTTAGTACTGCGCCACTGCGCTGTTGTTTGTCCACGGGCTTGTCCTTGGTTGGAGAGCGGGTAGAAGCAGGAAATACATGAAGTCTGGGATCCGAGTTCGGCTTACTGCGCCATAGATGTTCCTACTAACTGGGTGAGGAGTATGAGCCATAAAACTGTTCAATATGATTTACTTTTATGTCTCTCCCTCATACATACGAAAATATGGGCAATGAGGTACGGCATTGTACTACGGAGCTCGTATGCATGCAATGTACGGTGTGTACACCAGAGCTCTGCGTTTAATTACGCGATAACATTAAGATTGCAATAAATATGTCCATCTTATGAAAACTAATGGGCAAAAATTAGTTCAAAGATAATAAAGGATACTTAGTGATATGAGACTTCGCGTACATTTGTCATGATATCATTTCACGATTCTATATCATCAGACTTGTAGTTGCAACGTTATTCCTTTACAATCTCTTTTCTCCATGTACGCCATTCGTAACCCAAAGAGCAAGAATTTGTTTTGCAGAGAATCCAATTCAAGTAAGATAAAACGAAACCGAATATTTGCCAGTTTTTATAGCCACACAACGAGGGAGTCAGTGAGAGACATCGCAAAGCAACGACGCACTGTATTTGCTCTGCGTCCCTCTTATGTATTTTTTGGAGGGACCCAGGACACGCTTGTGCTATTTCACATGTTGGATGATACACTCTGTATGAGTTTATTTCCAGAAATTATATTTTTTCGTTTGTTCCTATGTACCGCCTTTGAGTGCGATTTCCTGTAAAGTTCACACACACGTGGGTAGCAAAAATCAAATTATCGTAAGAGAAGAATGTGTCAACTATTTTAGTTAACTTTTAAAAGAATCTTGTAGAGCATTAAAAAAACATTTATATTTATGTTTAATTTTAAAAAATACGGAGAATAATGAATGATTTCGAAAACTATGACATCATTTTATGGGATAAAAATAATGTCATATTATTGCTTACGATTGATCTTAATTTTATATTTACAACAGTCATGGTGACTACGTCAGTTATTTCTAACCCCTAATCGATGCTTTATTTTTTACTAAAAATGTTACAGTCGGAGCAGCAATTTTTCATATTTCTATTGTTTTTAACCTTAATTGAAAAATTATAAATTAAAAAAATATTTGATAATTGTTCATTTTCTTACAATATTTTTCTAAATTTCATCGACAGGGTGACATTTTATAAATTCTGAGAAAACGTGTTTATTTTAGGCTATATTTTATTGGAAATGTATTTTTGTGGTTTTAATGATGAAACAAAGCACAACGACTTTACAGCAATATTGACTTTATAAATATATATATATATATATATATATATATATATATATATATATATATGTATAAACAGATTTCTCAGAATTTTTAAAATGTCACTTATACCGTTTTGTTTTTTACCTATTCATGTATACATTTAATTGTAGTTCCTAGCTGTACAATTTAGGTTCCAAATAGATTTAATTTAGCTAAGACTGATTTGACTGAATTCTTTTTTCACAAGCCTTTTTTGACCTAGTACGTAGCCGCCATGAAGTCTGTATTTTCTAATTGGTTGTCTAATAGGCAA